GGTTGAACCAGAAGTATAAAGAAGAAGATTATTTTAATGATTATTACAAGAAAAACAGTAAGAGTTATGTATGTGAAAGATGTGGTAAAACAATAACAAGTAACAGTAATAAAGCAAAGCATCAGAGCACCGAAAGGTGTAAGAGAATTTATGAAGAGAAGCAACAAAATGAAATGGAGAAAACATTAGTGAGGAAAATTGTAGGTTTATAATTAATATTAATTAAATTTCTAGTTAATATTAATTATGAGTGCTAATGAGATTTTGGAGAAGATATATTACGATTTGGAAAGAGGATACGGGTCGGTAAGAAGTTTATATGAAGAAGCAAATAAAGACGGAGCGGGTGTAACCTTACAATATGTTAAGGACTGGGTTAAGAAACAAACAACTCAAAGGAGAAATTATAAGAATTACAACAGTTATTCGGCGCCTTATGCTAGAGCAGTTTATAGTGTTGATATTATGGATATGGTTAGTTTAATGAAAGACACTGACACTTTTAAGAAAGAGTATAAGCGGTATGCGTTGTTATGTATTGATAATTTTAGTAAGAAAATTCATATCGTGCCTATGGAGAACCGAGACGGTGAAACAGTGTATAACGCTTTTATGGAGTGCTTTAAGGTTATGGGTTATCCTAATAGTATTTATTCGGATGATGATGGGGCGTTTAATTATAAGAAGTTACAGGATTTTTTGAAAGGGGAAGGCATTGACCATATAGTAACTTTAACGCATGCGAATGTAGCAGAGAGAGCAATCAGAACTATTAAGAAGATGATTACTGACAGAGCACTAGTAACGAAAGGAGCATGGACGATTTTATTACAACCAGTATTAAACAAATATAATAAACAAATGAAACACTCAACCACAGATATGACTCCAGACGAAGCGCATAAGGACGAAAACGCGGTGAAAGTGAAGGCAAACTCGGTATTGAAAGAAAAGTATTTAAGAAAATATCCAAAGGTAGAAGTCGGGGATAAGGTGAAAGTATTTGTAAAAGGAAAGGGCAACTACACATCAAGAAAAGAATCGCGCAATCAATGGAGCGAACAAACATACACGGTTAAGGAAATAGGCAGAGACCTACAACTCAACAAACACTACATCCTAGAAGGTAAAGCTAAAAAATATAACAGGCACGAAATATTATTAGTAGATTAATATATACTTAAAGACATGGCGCCCTAGTATATTATAGTAATGAGTGATAGTGAAAGCGTTGTAACAGTAGATTATAACATTGAGAAAGAAATTGAGTATGGTCGTAAATTAATAAAGGATGATATTAAAAACTGTAAGAATTGTAAATTAATACATTATCAATTGAAAAATAACTTTAATGTATTTACTGACGGTGTAAATGAGAATATCTTTTCCTATATCGGATGTAGTGACTGCGTATCAAGAAACTATTATTTGGATTATGATGTTTCCATTCTTATTTATGGTTTAGTAAGAAACAATGAGTATCCTGAACATAGAGATATAATATTACAAGTGTTGAGCGGTTTTAACCCTAACTTCTGTTGTGCTATTATTTATGCTAACATTTATGTAGATGATGTTTACATATATGAAACTGACTTTTGTGAAAAATATAGTGAGTTGTATAATAAACAAATACATGACAAATTTGAAGACGCTTATAACCATTATTTTAATGAGGAAAAAGTAAAAGAACTGAAAGAACTATTAATAACTAAATATAATAATGAATATGAATATTATAATAATATAGTTGAACTAAAACAATATTTGTATCATTATTTAAGAATATTTTCAATGATAATTACATATTTAAATAAGCGACAAGTTTTTTTATGATTTAATACAATGGTTAAAATTCATCATTATAGACCAACCATAATATTATTAACTAGCAAATAATATTATAGTTAAAAATACTTAAAGACAAAACGCCTTAGAATAGTAAGAGGAAAATGAGTATATTTAAGTATGAAAATTGCCATGTGTGTAAATGTATTAAGGGGAATAGAAAAGGCATTCTAAATAATATATTACCTGAAAATATAGGTAATGAAGTAGTTGATTATCTACAATGTAAAAAGTGTGAGAAACTAAAACATCATGACAATAACTTTAGTGATGAATATCCAAGATTTGGTATAGAATTGAGTAAAGTAGAAAAGCAGTTCTTCTTATTGATAAAGATTAATCCGAAATCATTCATAGACAACAGGATAAGAAAGAGAAGTATCATGAAACAACAAATGAAAGAATTAATTAAAGCAAGAGGGGCTAAAGATAAAAAAAGTATTAAACTCATTTGTTCATAATGCTGATGTATTTGGTATTGTTGAAGATTTTCTTACCCATATGTGGAGCGAAGGAAGCACAAAACGTCTTGTAGGTTATCATATGAACTCATTTTTATCTGGCACTTATGTTTATGCTAAAACAGAATATGAAAACTTAGACCTGTTTTATAAAGTGGTTGTAATGTATATTGATTACATATTAGAAGATTATGCTTGCTATATTGATAGAAATGAAATAAATAAATATATTGATAAAGTATTTAATCCCTTTGAATAAATCAACCATAACATTATTACTAATATAATGAAATGGTTGAACTGACTAATAAACCCTAGGAATAACCCAAAGTTAAACAATGTCTAGACCATACTAAGCCCAGACTAGGCTTTATGTTAGGCGTTTCTATGAACCGCCTAACTAAAGTCAATTATAGCCTAACCCAGAGACCGAAAATAACGAATAAACCTACCGAAACCAAAAGTTAAGAATAACTACTAGGCCTAAAAATGAAAACATCAAAGGTTAAACAAATACTTAAATTAGATATACCGGAACTAGGGCTAAGCAAAAAACGAAGAAGGAGACAAACCCAGACAAAACGAATAAGACACCCCTAAGAAAAAACGAATAAGGCAACCATAGCAAGAAGACAGACCCCAGAGTCAATAATATAGAAACGAGGAAGGCGACAAGGTCAAACAACAAGTAGGAGACAGTGATGAATAGACACAAAACAAACCAGACACCCAACATACAATGTCCCATGACCCCACAATCCCCCTTTCCACTATTTTTTCCCCACCCCCCCCACCCCCCCCCCCCCCCCACCCCCCCACCCCCCCCCCCCCCCACCACCCCCTGTAGGGGGGCGGTCTAGGCCCTGAGTTTTGGGGTTTAGGGTTTAGGGCAGGGCTTATGGCTTAGGGTTTAGGGTTTAGGTTCAGGGTTCAGGGTTCAGGGTTCAGGGTCAGGTTCATCGGGTTAGGGTTTAGGGTTTAGGTTTTTTAGGGTTTTAGGGTTTAGGTTTAGGGTTTAGGGTTTAGGGTTTAGGGTTTAGGGTTTAGTTAGGTTTTTAGGGGGTTTTAGGGTTTAGGGTTAGGTTTTAGGGTTTAGGGTTTAGGGTTTAGGGTTTAGGGTTTAGGGTTTAGGGTTTAGGGTTTAGGGTTTAGGGTTTAGGGTTTAGGGTTTAGGGTTTAGGGTTTAGGGTTTAGGGTTTCGCGCCTTTTCCCAAATGGGGTGTTGAATTTCCGGGCACGGGTGAGACGTCTGTACTAGTGCAGTTCTTGCGGTGGACGGCGTGCTTGCTGTAAAAGCGGCTCTTCGGCCCGCTTACTGCAGGCCGACCAACATATACCCACCCCGCGCCGTTCAGGAGGCGGCCCAACCACCCAAACCTATTCCTTTTAGGGTTTACCTGGGTAGCCATACGCCTATTTATAAATGGTGGTTTCCCTGAACGCCCACATTCTGTAGGCACGCCCGCATTTCCCCAAACGCCCATAATTGCAGAAAGCACCCTGGGCTAAGCGAAGCCTTAAGCCCATGCCGAGCCCCGTGCCAATGTCAGTGCTCGAGAGATGACAGGTTTGATTGATCATCAATAGGTTGCAACAGGTTTCGGAGAAGATTTCACCTGGAGAGTGTTATAGACCGAGTGAATTTAGCTGGCAACCAGAAGGGCTTTTTGAACAGCACCCTACCGCTTCATGTCTCGACTGCCCTCCTGATCACTGCAGAGCTTCGCAAGGCATCTCTGGCATGGATTTGTTGGATTGTTTAAAGCACGTTTCTCCAGCGTAGCTTGGTCGATCAAGCCGGTGCGTGTCGCACATTGGCCAGGTGAACCCGAGAGAAGCCGATGATGGCGATGCCGCCAACGCACAGGTGCGCCCACACCTGCCAAGCTGTATACTTGTTTTCTTCGGGAAACGTCTGTGTGTGTGTGTTCGCAGTTGGGGTTCAAGGGCTGCCTTACTCACATTCTAGCTGCCGGGAATGTGCACTTTTAACTTCATGGAATGTGTGGAGATGTGGGATTCTCATCCTCGGTTGAGAAAGCGTGCGCGGACTCGTGAGCTGCTGGTTGTCGACGCCCGTGGGCGCAAGCATGTGTCACCGACCTTGTCCAACCTCCATGTCAACTCGAGTGTGGTCAGGCCCTTTACACTGGTTATGGCCAAGCATGGTGTCATCATCACAAAATCCTTGTCAAAACTGCGCCCGCCGATCGAGGCCTTCTATCGGCAAGAACTCGTAGACGAAGAAAGCAAAGATCCGATAGTCCTGGCCAGGCTGACGAGCTCAGCAAAGAAAACCGCGAAAATCGTCAAGACCATGCTTACAGCAGTGAAACGCAAATGGTCAAAGTGGGAAATGCCTCGCGAAACCAAACCGCACATATATTTTTTCAGGCTTTTATTTGGAAGTATTCACATATCTACACGCTCGTGTGTGCACGTGTGCACGCGGAACATATAAGGACGAGAAGGTTCGATCTATGGTTCTTGATTTGGCAAAGGCCTGCTCCACTGCATACGCTGACACTAGTGCAGGAAACTTAACATTTTACCTTTTCGCTGTAAGTTGTGCCCTGCCGATCGAAGCATTTACCAGATTCTCTGTCTGAAGTTTGCAGCCCAAGCTAGGAAGGCCGCTCTGCGCTTCCGAAGAAGGCAAAGGCAAAGGTTTCGAGTTCGAGTAGCTGCAGCATGGACGACGACAACCTCAAGTCGGTCTTGAAGCTGTGGTCGGATCGAGATCACACAAGTCCGTTGGAGGCTTTTCTCAAAGCTCCACCTCAAGCAGAGCTGGAGGCTGTCCTGGGCTTCAGTCTGAACCCTGAGCATTACACGTCGCGGCCTGCCGACCGGTCGGACTCGAAGGGTGGGGAGGCTCATGTGGTTGAGCAGGACACTTTGACGGAGTCACAAATTGCGGCGGCGCTGTCGGATGAGGGCAAGGAGCCCGATCCTGCTGCGTTGCCTCCGCAGGAGGCGTGTGAGCCGGAGCCTGCGCCGCTTCTTGCGCTTCCTGTGGAGGCTGAGCAGTCCCCCAAGCCCAAGCCGAGCCCCTTCACAACGCCAGTGAAGCCCAAAGAGCCCGTCATTGTGATATCCCCTGGCAGCCCCATGGACTTCCAGTTGCATGTAGAGATTCCCAAATTGGAGTCGTGTTTCGCGTACATATGCTCCATGCATGCAAGCGTGCGCGTGCTTTGTGTACTTAAGGCAACCACTCCTGTTCCTGTGGACAGTCCCCTTTCGGGGCTATCGAGCCAGTTTGCCAGCATGGATCCCAACGTTCTTGAGAGCCTCCTTGCCCTTGTGAAGGAGAAGCTGCTCGTGTACTTCAGCCTTGTTCAAGCGCGCGTGTTTGTTTGTGATGTGTCGCATAACCTTCGGGCTTATAAGAGCGAACTTAGGTCCCAGCCGGACCAGGACACGAAGAAGAATGCGTTCGAACCACGACGTAGAATATCGTTCGGTTCAGATGCATCCACTGCCTCTGGGTCGATCTCTTCAAAAGCCACTTCAGGCAGAATGCGTGGCGGAATTTTCCCTTTATGAAACTTCTTGAAATGGCTTCGTTGTGTTCCTGACATGCAGGCCAAACTTCGTACGACAACGACGACACGCAACAGTGGTGCCCAACGGAGGGCGAATTGCTCGCTGCGTGGTCTGAGATTGAAGCGAAAGAGGCGGAACTCCACAAGCGGGAGGCGTCAATGGCCAGAACCGAAGAGCTTCGCAAGGAGCATGCGAAAAGTGCATTGCGGTTGAAGGAGCAGCTTCACGGAAAGGAGCGCCAAGCCGTCCCGCCCATCAAGCTTCCCGAGGATGCGAAGCCAGCTGCTTGACCCATCCACATAATAATTTTTCGGTAGACAGCTGTTTGTGTGCTGCAGGTTGCAGAACCCTATCCTTCTCACTTGCGTGTGCACCTGTGGTCCATACTCATCTGTTGCTTGGTCTGCCAAACTAAGTCTGCCACTGTGGTTACGAGACAGCAGCAGCTACAGCTCACGGCCGACAAGAAAGGCTTGAATGATCTTGAGGACAACGATGAAGCTGATGCTGCGATGCCAAGCTCGCACAGGGGGAGACCCTGCAAGAAGGCGGTTCAGGCTAAGGCCAAAGCCAAGGCCAAGGCCAAGGCCAAGGCCAAGGCCAAGGCCCTGGCCAAGGCCTCTGAGGATGACGATGATGCTGGTGGGTCCCCGAACAACTGTGGCACTGAGTCCGTCACCCCGGCGCCCAAGCTTCTGCGGAGTGGCAAGAGCAAGATGTTCAAGTCCAGATCCAGGAGGCGCTTGATTTGCAAAAATGCCAAGGAGGCCGATCACGCGGTTGAGAAGAGCAAGAAGCGCAAAAGGCCGAATGCTGGCAAGGAAAGCAAAGCAGCCTCTTGGTCGGACGCCACCCAGCACTACGACCAGTGGGATGGTGAGTGGAATGGTGCCTGGGGCGAGGATTGGGGCGAGGATTGGGGCGATGAGTGGGCTGCTTGGGAAGGGATCGAGGATTGGGAGCCGGATGTGCCAACCACTGCGCCGAAGCGGAGGTACTCCAAGAAAGCCAAGCCCTCGCCCTCTGCTGAGCCTGCTGTCGAGGGCAGAAACGCAGATGAAGAGGGCGGAGACGACGAGGATGAAGAGGATGAAGACGGTGAGGGGTACATGAAGACCTTTGCCAGGCGCTACTATCCGCAGAGGCCCGCCTTCCAGGCCAAGTGGCTGGCCATCAGGGATCAAAGATTCGGTGCTTTGTCAAGGGCCACTCAAAGCTCGAGGACCTATTGTTGCAGAACACGTGGATGGGTATGTATGTATAGCGACGTAGAGGGTGTATTCTTGCAGGACCGCTTCTGGATCTATTGCGGAGAGAAGGCCCAGGAGCGTGTCCCGAAGGTCACTGTCCAAGATTGGCCCGCTCTGGCTGTGTCTGCAGCTTTTGAGTTCCTGGGTGATGGTGCCATTTGTCCCGTGGAAAGCAAGTAGAGAATTCGACAGCTGAAGCCTTTCATAATATTGCATTCCCTCAAATTCATCGTAGCTCAGGCAAGAAGTGGTCTGATGTGGGTGAGAAGCTCTTTGGGGGTGACAAGAGACCGTCTCGCAAGCAAGTCGAGGCGTATCTCAAAAAGAATGGCGTGGGCCACTGATCTTTTGAAGCATCGAGTGGCTTGTGTAGCTGTGCAGGGGGAGATGGGGAATGGGGAACCTCCTGGTCTCGCAGCTTCTAATTTTATGGTGCCTCTGTGGCCTCTTGCGAAGGACCGGCTTGTTA